ACACTACAGCAGGGCCCATTTGAGCCTTTTGCAGTCAGTTGAGCTAGAGTTTCTTTCAATGAAATCTCTGCTCCTGCTTACACTGGCCTCCATCAAGAGGGTAGGGGACCTGCACACATTTTCGGTCACGATTCGTGCCTAGAGTTTGGGCCGGCTTGCTCCGAGGTAATCCTGAGGCCCCAGCCTGGCTATGTGCCCAAGGTTTCCATTACTCCCTTCAGGGATCAGGTGGTGAGCCTGCAAGCGCTGCCCCCGGAGGAGGCAGACCCAGCCCTAGCTTTGCTCTGTCCCGTCCGAGCCATGAGATGCTACGTAGACCGGACACAAAGCTTTAGGACCTCAGACCAGCTCTTTGTCTATTACGGAGGCCGGCAGAAGGGGAAGACCGTCTCTAAGCAGAGGATGGCCCACTGGATTGTGGATGCCATCACGCTGGCTTATCAGGCACAGGGTGTGCCCTGCCCGCTCAGGTTGCGAGCACTCTATTAGGTGTATTGCATCCTCCTTGGTGCTGGCTCGTGCTGTCTCGTGGTGCTTTGCTGACAGATACTTGTAGAGCTGTGGGCTGGGCGACCCCCATGTTCGCTAGATCCTATAGCCTTCGTGTGGAGTTGGTATCCTCCTGTGTTCTCACCTCAAACGGGTAGAGGCACTGAAAGGCCCCGGTTTAGTGTTGGCTTGCTAGAAACTTCTCCAGAGTGTCCGTACTGTAGACCCTGTCGAGCTCCTCCGTCCCCTCGGCAGCCAGACGTGGCAGTCGAGCCTTCACTCGATGAATACTTGAGAACCGGTAGAAGGCTGGGTTCCATATGTGAGACCTAAGTGGATCCCATATGTGTAAAGGTCCACAGTATAGCCTCAGAGCCTGTGTTTCCCCGGCAGACTTCTGCCATTTCCAAGAGGGTTACAATCACCTCCAATTTTCCATATGCACCTAAACAGATGTTCATATGTGTATTTGCTTCCGAAACCTCCTTCGGGAAGGATGAGGCTTCTGCAGCGTCCCTGTTCCAAGTGGAACGGGTACGTTTTCCCAGTGTTATCCAATCTCACTGAGTGGGTAGTGCTATGACAACAGTGACTGGTCTTCTTATTGCGAGTCCCGGCCTACACCACAAAGGGGCGCAGGCGGCTCGCACAGGACACTGGAAGGGGCAGCATCCATGGCGCTTTGGTAGGGATCCCAATTCGTCGGTCACCGACGTGACTTGGAGTGACTGACTGAAAGGGAACGTCTTGGTTACATATGTAACCCTCGTTCCTTGAAGGAGGGAACGGAGACGTCACATCCCGTCGCCACAGCTACTGTACCACCGCTGAGCGGCCGGGTCACCAGCTCGGCTCCTCAGCGAAAACCTGGTATGCATTGCACCGGCTGCCTTTTTATGCTCACGCTGTGATCAGCGGCCCCTGGATGCAATAATTGCATGCCAATGTGCATTGGCTCGTTTAGTTACACTCGAAGTAGATTGGTCTCTCGAAGCGAGATCCCAATTTGTCAGTCACCGACATGACGTCTCCGTTCCCTCCTTCAGGGAACGAGGGTTACATACGTAACCGAGACGTTCGTTATCGTCTCGTTGTCGTCGGTGACAAAAATGTTGTTGACAAGAATTATGACGAAAATTATTCGCCAACTAAATTAACACTGCTAGGAACAGCCTTGGTTCCTAGTTCTTTTCACCTGTCTAAGTAATGGCCGGTGAGGGCAGGGAACCACTCTAGTGTAGTAGAGTCTTGGTCCTGTGCTGTTACTCGAGGAGGTAGAGGAACAGGAGCTGGTTTACTGCCAGGTCTCCAAGACTGGTAGATCAGATCCAGGTAACAGTGCATCCGGGCCACCTGGTTCAGCGTGAAGGAATCTGTGCAGTCATCATCTTTATGGGAACAAAACGAACAAAGATATCTCAGACGTTACACTTATTTTAAATTTCTTTCACAGATTTCCTGTCCAAATCAGCACAGACAATGCTAAAAGAGTCTGCAGAAGTCTTCTACGCAGCAGACATTTAGAGTTGATACTGTATACTGTATGTCTCACCAGCATAGCTCATGTAATTGTTGAAGGGGGTGTTTGTGAAATGACATCTGCCGCAGGTGTCGTTGCCTGGCTCAGGATCTCTGCAGTACTTGTACTTGGGTGTGGGATTTGTATCTACACACAGATCCCCCGTCTCAAGAGACGGCTCAGTCTCTAAGCAGGCATCGTTACAGGACTCCACCTCTGAGATTCCCCTGAAGACATGGTACAGTCCAAGGCTGTGGCCAATCTCATGGATCATGGTGTGAGTGTGGCCAAATGTACCATAAAATAAAGGGTTTAATACAATCCCACCTCAAAAAAGACAGAGCGAGAGCAGGTATTATAAACATCATCATTTTTGGTACCCATTTAATGTCTTCTTTTGCTGATGACAATGAAAGTTGATATGCAATGCTCTTCAAAACTATGCTGAACCAGTGATTGTTATCTGTATTGTAGTGATGCATTTATGTATTTACCTAAATGTGTCAAAGCTTCTTTATCCCAGGGCCAAGTGCCCACACCAGCCACGTCTTCATCAGATGAGTTAGCAAAGAAGATGTTCAAGTGCGTGGATCCATCCAAATTCAAAACCTCTTTCAGCTCTTTCACGTTCATGTAAGCCCTATAGAACAAGAAAGACTTTTCAACACAGGAAATATTCAAAACAGACTGCTTTCAAAATCATATATACTGTAAACCGGACCTTACAATTGCACATAGAATCCTGTACAAAATCATTTTCAGACCAGTTGACTGAGCTGTCGCTTGTCCTTTCGCGTTTTATGTTTCCGGCCGTCTAACATTCACTTATCATGATTATTAAAATGGCAATATTGATCTTTTAAGTCTATTTACAGTGTTTGTAATGCACCAGGTTTTCCTGTTTCTTTCATCAATTTTCACTGCTCCTCCACTGTTGAATCTTAAGCGCCATGACAAAATAAATCATAGTTGTGAATGTGATGCAAAAAAAGGTTTTCTGTTGAGCACCCAAATGCAAACAAGAAGTGACTAGTATTGGCTGATACGCTAACAAATGACTCTTGTGACCACATCTTTAAAGTCATTTGTTGGGTCACGCAACTTGTGTTTCTGAGTCACTAAAGAAATAACTTGCTCATAAAGATGCGGTCACATTTACCACTGTTCAGTCATTTTTTTTTGGTGGATAAAATCCAGTAGTTGCAATAGAACTTTACACAATCTGGAATTTCGCGTGAGGACGAAATATATGCCCACACACTTTTCACAGACTTTTTACAGAATTGCTACATTAACCAACAGAAAGCTACTTGTTTTGAAATTAACTTCTGGATGAGCTGTGCTTTAATCTCTATACTATTGACAATATACAATGGACCATTTTTGCCCACGATAATTTACCAAAATGTTTGTGGTTGCACGCTTATTAGCCAGCTCTTTAAATGGGCATTATAACTGAAACATACCTAAATGAATTGGAGTGGAATTGAGAGCTTGTGAGTCAGAATTGAATCAGATAGGGAAATCTATATCTATATGAATCACTGGATTTACAAATGGTACATTTTTTTACTGAGCTCTCTAAACATCTAAGAGTGAATATACCCTAGTGAAAAATAAATACACTTAAATATATTTGAAATACATTTATTCCATACTACAAATACATTTACATACATATACACTCTTAAAAATAAAGGTGCTTCAAAAGGTTCTTCAAGCGATGCCATAGAAGAACCATTTTTGGTTCCACAAAGAACCATTCAGTCAAAGGTTCTTTAAAGAACCATTTCTTTCTTACCTTTTTATAATCTGAAGAACCTTTTTTCGCAACAAAGAACCTTTTGTGAAACAGAAATGTTCTTCAGATGTTAAAGGTTCTTTATGGAACCATTTAGACAAAAAGGTTCTTCTATGGCATCGTGAAGCACCTTTATTTTTAAGAGTGTATACTTAATCAAAATATCCTTTTATAATAGTATACTAAACTGGAACTTAAAGTCTGCTAAATTGGAACAACTAATTTTGTGCTTAATGCACTTCAATTTTGTGGAAGTAGTGCTGAAGTCCAACACAAGAAATACTGAAGTATATCTGATTGAGCTAAAGTGGAACTATTGCAAGTATACTTCAGGTACACTTTAAATATCTTGCATTTAAAGACCGATATCAAGACTATACAGTCCTCATCATTAGTGACAATAAAACACATTTTGGGCTTGATATTAAGAAATGTGCGTTGAACACAAGTAGTACTACAAATAAAGTTGAATTATAGTATTTATATCAGTAATTCTCAAGCGATATGTCAGTAAATATGTTAATAGACAATCTATATTTATTATGAAATAAACACATTTTAAATATATTACTTCTTTTGGGGTAATTACCAAATTTTGAGGTAATTTTTATTAATGAAATACATCAGTAAGGATTGATAGGAAAGTACAAACAGAAGTACACAAAGAGCGTGTGTGAGTGTATAAATGTTTGTCAAGAGAAGCAGTGTTCCGTAATTTAACGGCTCTAGTGAGGCTGTCACACAGAGTTTGTATTTGGAAGGAAACCTGAGCCCCACTCTGCAGCCAGCTCTGTGGTCAGAGGTCATTGGCCCTGTCTAGTTAGGAATGCATTGTGTCATTTGGATAGTTCCAAACACGGCCCCCTTATAATGATTATTATTTCACCTCAAACACACTGGGCATGTTATTCCCATGCAAGCCTTTCCCCTGCAGTGATAAACTGTCATGCAAGTCAAACAAAGACAAGCCTCTCTAGAGTGATGAATGCTGGCTTGCTGGAGACATACATTTCCATAAGTACAACAGCATGTAACCATGCATATATTCATATTTGCGCAGACGTATAGGATTTCATATCGCCTCTCCGCTAACCTCCTCTGTCTTTACGGGAGGCCCTGCTTAATTCTCTCAAAACATTTCCCTTTTGAAAAATGCTGGAACAAAAATGAACACAAGCGGTGCTTAGTTCCTAACTCCAATGCTTTCAAATGTAGAAAACACCCACCTCCACTATTCATTGAGAAAAAAAAACAGCCAGGTCTCATTCTTCATCTTAAGAGCAACATCTGTTAGCTAGTTCACCACTAGGGCCAATCAAACACGGTATCTGTTGTCATGCTGCTAAGCCCTGGGTTAGCTGAGACATTATGAAAATGTATGTATTACTTTGTAGTTGTTCTTGATGTATTACCTTCTAAGGAAGACGCGGGTTAAAGAGACATGATGACCATTTCCTGGTATTTATTTTCTCGCAAGCCTTATACCGTGGCACTATGTCTTGTAAAGTCATCACTCTCTGTCATAAAAGAGAAACACTAGAAGCCTCATGACAGTTCAAAAGAAGGAGAGTAAGTCTAGTAAACACACTTTTGCATTTCACTACTGGACTACATTTCCAATCATAAAGCATGGTGCTTATTGTACATCCCAACAACAATCAGGCAGTTATATTGTTTATATATTACTTTGTATACTAATTGAGATTTTTAATGTTTTTGCAAGAATTCTCTTATGCTTATTAAGGCTGCATTTATTTGATCAAAAATGCAGTAAAACGGTAATATTGTAAAATGTTGATACAATTTAAAAAATGCTGGTTTCTTTTAATATTTTTTCAAATGTAATTTATGCCTCTGCTGGCAAAGCTGAATTTTCAGCAGCCATTACTCCAGTCTTCAGTGTCACGTGATCCTTCATAAATCATTCTAATATTCTAATAACTGAAGATTAAAAACACAGGATTAAAACTTAAAACACAAGATTTAAGATTAAAAAAAATAATAAAAACATTCTCATCATAGAAGTGGTGTATTCAAGTCAGTATATTTATGAAATGGATTTTTCAACAATGTATTTTACTTACATATTTTTGAATAAATTACTAGATCTGAAAAAAACATACAGTTGTAATTTTATTGACCCATCTATCACTAGTTTGTGTCTGAAAGCGAAAGAAAGGGACGTGATAATGTTGCACAAATATGAAAAAAAAAAAAAAAACATGGCAGAGGGTGTGATGTTCTCTAGGCAGAACATTGATGATTAGTTATGGTGGTGACGCTACAAGCCAACACAGCTGCCAATGAGATGCAGCGCAGCGTGGAAACATCTTGTGTGGTACAGACCTCAAATTACCTGCTTCATTCCACACATATTCAGAAAACAACTCATAACTGAATAGATATTCTTACAAGCAACATTACTGTGAAGAGCACAGTAAAGAAACATTCACTTTTTGAATTAAAAAAAAGCATGCATCTTACTGGTTTTTCTTGACTCAGACTAGTGAAAATGCACCAAAGTAAACCTATATAGTGGAATACTTGAAATGACATCACCTTTTTATAAAAAAAAGTCAAGAATGGAAAATGAAAAGAAACTGTAGTATGCAGTATCAAAAGGTGGCAGAGGTTCGCTTGTGAAACCGTGGAAGCCAGCTCAAGGGACAAATCTAAGGAGAACAGATGATATAAGGTTTCCCTCCTAATAATTTCAGGAATTTCATTATTTCCTATGAAAATATTTGGCTGGCTTTTTGGCTGTACAGAAAGGGAAAAAAGAGGTCAGGGAGTTTCATGGCGAGATAAATAAGTCAGCTATAGAGTAAGTGCAAAAGGAACTTGTTTTTTAAAACATAGGCCTCTGCTTTATTAAAAGTTCCACTACTGTAGGTCAAAGCCACCTAATCTGAGTTCAATTAAGTTTAATCCACTGGCTTACTTAGAAAAACACAACACGAATCAGATGTGGACATAGGCCTACTACAAAAACAGCAGGCCAAAGTATGCATCTGTCCAGCCAAAGTATGCAGGCATCAGTGGTCATGAATTGCACAATGCTGCTCAGGATCATTTGAGGCTTTTTTTCTCCTGATTCTGCTGAGTAGGGAAGTGGGTGACACAGGCAGTACAACGTTTGAAGCCACATAATGAATCACTAGCCTCACATTCGGAGGTGATCATCTTTAAGAATGCCAAAATTGTCTTCCAGGATGTCTTAAAAGAAGCCAGTCCGTTCACATCTCCACATATAGGGTACGGGCTTGTGTCATGGGAAGGCTGTCCATTAAATAAGTAAAAAAAGGGGGGAAAAAGCGCAGACGTCACTGCTGATCAGTTCCGCCTGGCTGCACTCAGAGTGCTCCAAGTGGTGTGTTGACGCATTTATATTTAATGCCTATTAAATGCGTGATTATGGCTTCATCCATTTACACCCATGTATTATTCATCTGAATCAGTAAAGACGGCCTTACATCCAAATGTACCGAGTGTGGTTTCGCGTAGAGCTGCTCGGGGCGGGTTGGCATGGCAGTGTTCACCAGTTGGCTGAAAGGGCTATAATTTTCTCAGCCTTTCATGGATCTTTTCATCAGCTCCAAGTACATAAGAGGAGTGATCAATCATCTATACAATTAACATCATGCACAACCAGGCGTGAAGTTCACAGGCTCGTGGGATAATTTGTAGCTGACCTCTGCAGGAATAATATAATTCACAGACAGTTACCATAAAAGGGGCTAGAAGAGAGGAGGATACATTTATGCAAAGTCTACAGAAAACAAGGGCTGTTTGATATATGAAGAATATTGTACTAAAAGAATACAGTAAACAATCACTGT